GCAGAGCGCGGATAATCGCGCTTGCAGAACGACGAGCGTTCTGAGTCACACGTTCTGCGTCGCTTTGAAATATTCTAACTCCCACGCAGAAAAAAAAATAAGTGTCAAATCAAAATTTATATACTCGTATATAAATCTCGTATATACGTAACGATCTATAACCTTGAAAATGAGATTATATAAACAAAGAAAACTTGCTTCAATTAAGTCATTTATATAGTTCAACCAAGAAAACAATTTAAATTCTTGTAAGAATATTATATAGGTCGTTGCGTATATACGAGTATATAAGTTTTTTAATTTGACACTTCTTTTTCTTCTGCACGGACTGAACGACTCCTTTTCATGAGAGACAAAAATAAACTTGGAAAATTACTAGAAAATCTGAGCTAATTCGACATCTAGTTTACATGATACATAAAATATACTATAAATGCAAGCTGCAGTTAGATTTACTCGTCACGTAACTGAAACGTCGCGTTTAGAAACAATTATATGAGACGACAGGAGGATTTCGAATATTCGCGATCTCATCAACCGCGCTCGCGATTGCGCCACGCGTGCCGCCCCCCTTAAAAGTCGGACAGGTGGTTCACACGCGATCGGCTGTGCCCCGCTTCGACGCGGCGTGGCGGCCGGAGTTATTCGCGTGACCGTGTAAAACGGCCTTAATGGGAGTGTTTCCTGATCCCGGAACGAGTAACGAGACTCGTACGTACAGTAAAGGGTTCGTGGGAAGACGAACGTCGAGGCTGGGCTTCGCTCGAGGGTACGTACACTATGTACCCGCGCGCGAGCACGTGCACACACGCGCATTCGTCCACTCACACACCCACAAAGCATACAGCCGACACGGAACATCGTGCCGCATTCGGAGAGCCGTGTATAGTCTCCGTGCACGGACTGCCGTATGCACCGGCATTATACGGCAGAAGGCAGCTTCAATAGATGTCAGGGCCAAATCTCCAATTTCCCCCACGGTCTCAATTAGACGGAATGACGAGCGATTAAGCGCGATTGACCGCGAGCTTATCGCGACTTTTCTCGACGATAACGGCTCATGCTCGCTTTTCCCAACGGCGAATTCTCTCGCGAGATCTCTCGCCGAATCTACGCGAGTAACGTTGGAGTTGTATTTGTAGAAATACGACTTGTGTCGTGTCTTCGCACGTAAACATCGAATTTAAAAACATCTAATTTTTTAATTAAATATTTAATTAAATATCAGATATTTTTTTAATTACTTAATTACTTATAATATACGAGCGGTTTCTTTACATAATTTAATAATTTCATTCGTATCTTTATTACTTGAATTCCTCACTGAGACTCAATGTATATAATCGCTGAATTATTATTAACTGTATTTGTAATATGCGATAGTTCAAATACACATAGACCGCAGAGATATTGCTTCCGGCCCGAGGAAAGGGTTACGCTTTGCATGGCGGCGTTCAAAGGGTTTCAAGCATTCATTAGGGGGTATCCTGCCTAGCGGACGCTGTCGGGACGCTACGTGATATCCCTGAAAAGCGGAAAACCGCGGATTTAACAGCGCCGCGCGATCTCTCGCAGTAGAGTTCCTCGATCCGCAAGACGGAGTTCTAGAAAGGACAGGAAAGGGCCTCCCTCTTGTACAACGATTTCCGCTCCCAGGTGCACGCTTATTAACGCCGACGAGATCGCCGCCATTCATTAATTTCCCTCGCCCGACTCGGTAGCCGTGGAACTTCTCCACGGAGTCCTTTCCTCTCTCCCTCCTCGGGGCTCCACAAACCCCGTGCCGTAGTGGGCCTCGACGCGGCGCCGAGGTTGCGGCAGAAAGAAAGGGTAGATCTTAAGGCGATTTTACACGACTCGCTCCGCAGCGATCGCCACGAATGAGTAATTCGAGATGAATGCATTTATATATCAGATACTCTTGTATCGTGAGACTCTTGGAATCTCTTCCTAATATCTTACGTATCTTGAAATTATATTTGTTTCCAGTATCAAAAAAGTTTATAATGTCTTAAGATTATCTAAGACATGTTTCATAAGTTCGAAAATATTTAGTTTCTTAATATATTTGTCAAAACATCTAATTGTCGAAAATTTTATATAATCATATTATTAAAAGATCTGTATATGCATGTATCACAAATATATCACTAATAATGTATATTTTCTAACCTTTAAAGGTAAAATGTCTCGAAAAATTGATAAAGTATCAGGAGAACATAATTGGTAAAATCCCACGAATTTTCTTAAGTTTCAAGAATTTAAGAAGGCAACCGGAAGAGATCAAAAGACTCGAATGCGAAGAATCAAGCGACAAAGACGAACGAGAGGCAAAGACGAAGAGATGGAGAGATCTCTGGGCTCTGTTCTGTTCGGCCGCGAGGCACACGCTCATTAGAAATAATAATAATTGCCGCGAGACGTGGATAATGAATGTTACCGCCGTCGCCGCCGTAGTTCGACGCCGTTAACAGGGGAGTAACTTAACCGCGACGCCGCCGACAACCGACAATTAGGTGTAGATCGAATATACACCGCTCATGGGACACGCTGATAACGATGTCCTTCGCTACCTCGTCGCGACCAATCACACATCTCCCTACCCAATCGAGGCCTCTCGTCAAAGTGCGCCAGCAATCAGACGTTCGGGATTGACATCCAGTTATAGCTTATATAAATCTGTCACATTGTTTGTATTATAGCCGTATAGCGAGTAATGTGAACCAGAAATAATTGGCTAAACTATAATTAGGAAGTTTTCGAAAAAACAACAGTAATTAATTTATTAATAGGATTAACAAAATTATTTCCAATATCAATAATTAAATATTAAAAATGGTCACGTATTTCAAATAAATTATACTATCTTACGTTGCTTAATTTAAAAAATATATATTTAGAACCAAAGTCTCAAAACTGTTACAAAGGTCGCATGCATAATTAAACTTTTCTTTGAAGGAATTTGGCCTAAGGTTCAAAATTATTGTTGCTTAACTTTTCAGAAAAAATACTCGCAATTTTAGTTTCTAAATTTTTACGAATAGCTTTCAAGCAAAGATCGTTGCGACATTTCACTCCCGATATATCGAAACTCTTTGAAAACGTGCTTGTAAATTTCCCACGGCGAAATACGTCGAAACTCATACCTGAAAAGTGTTAGACACTTCGGGAATTCCAGATAGCGAGTTAATACCTAAAATTGGGACCAATAGGAAGGACGAAACTTTCGGATGAATAAAGTTTGAGTGGACGACATTCCGATTTCGATGGAAACGATAACTATTCATTGTCAGCAGAACGGAAAAAGCGCGCGCGTATAAAAAGATTGCAGACAAAATAATTAAAAAAATATTTATTTCCTCAACTGACACAGACAAAATAATTCATAATAAATGAAATCATTAAACACGCCATAAAACACATGTCCAATTAAATTGGACAGATGCCTCCGAGAAAACGTACGTCTTCGTCAAACGGCAACGACATTAGCAAAGCGTGTAACAGTAGCGCAATCTTAATTGCATCTAATGGCGATTACATCGTTAATGGTAGCGCCGCGCGATAACAACGATAATAACAAACGCAGGAAGAAAGAGAGGAGGACCGGAGGAAAGACACAGGAGGAAATGTACAAACGCCAGCCTTTAAAGAGCTGGAAGCGACCCCCCTTGAGCGTGAAGGGCGAGGGGGGAGGAGGAAGGGAACAGGTTCCCGGCATAGTTACCGCGTATTCACCGAGCTGAAAACCTTGGGCCTCATCTGGAGCGACAGAGAAGAAGAAGAAGATGAAGAAGAAGAAGAAGAGAGAAAGAAAGAAAGAGAGAGAGAGAGAGCAGCTGAAAGCGAGAAAGGAAAAAGAAAAGAAAGAGAGAGAAGGAAGGGGAGGAGGGGGCAGGATATTTGCTCATCTCGCTCCAGTCGAGATGCTGCAGACACACGATAAAGGTTGAGAAAGCAAAGGTGAGTTCACACGATGTGTGTATCGCGCCCAAGGAGTCGCGGAATCCATCGGGAGAATTCGCACGCGCGCGCGCGCGCGATCAGTGGGCCCTTGGTCCTTGAACTCGTTGCGACCGCTCGTCGCGAAAACGGTACCTTTTTTATTGGCACGTCCTACGCGCAGCACGAGCTTCTCCCAAGATCCTGCTGGTCCCCAAAATTTCGAAGGAAAAGAGAACGAATTTATACGAATTAAAGGACACGCTCTCGCGAGAACGAGAGAGAAGAGTAATGAGACGCTTGGCGTATTCGTGATTGCTTATGTGATGAAGTTTCATTATTGTGAACAAAAAATAGCGGTTTATTGTTAATTTATTTTCATTTATGCCGGGGAATGTGCTGGTGCACGGTTGCCCGTTCCTTTTGGACCGAAGAGAGCGGCGGAATGTTTTAAGCGCGACGAGTTAATTCGCGTCTCCCGCTGAATTTCTCGGAGAGGGAAGGAAGCGCGCAGCGAGACGGATTATTTCGGAACGGCGCGGCGGCAGGAAGCCGCGAGCGTAGCTGCATTTCCGCGATTTCTGCTAACGTAATATTTCATAACAGTCCCGCTCGTAAGGCATGCAAATCCCCCATTCCCCGAGTTGCCTCCGTAAGCGTTTCAACGTTTTCATATTTCCGACGCGCGACAGTCGCGCAAAGGTCCACGAGAGGCGCGGCGCTGAAATTGACGCTCATTCCGTTCATATCCTTCATTTGCGGAATTCGCGTCGCTTTAAAAATTCATTATCGCGTCCTCGTATATCCTCGTTACGTACAATTTTCTCAATCGCGTATCTCCCGTCGACAAAATCGCGCGTCGTAAAGTCAAAAAGTCGAAACGCGAAAGAAAAAAAAACAATCGTACGAACAACGTGGAAATTCGAGGGCGGCGCGCGATGTCGGGTGGGGAAACGCTGTTACGCACCTGGCGCTCCCTCCTCCTCGCCCCGGTCGAGCTGCTCCCGGTCTGGGAGCAAGATGGCGGAGTGGTGGGGCCCCGGAGCGAGGCACTTCGCCATTCGCGTCAGTCGTTTTCCGGGCCCAGTCGACGCGTCGGGCGTTGCGAGTCTCGTTCAGGAACGCGTTCGCGTCGCGGAACAGGAGAAAGGAGGATAAAAAGAGAGAGATAGAGGAGGAGGAACGCGTCGCTCCGGCGAGCGCTCCGTTCCGATTTTTCTTCCTCCTCGTCCGAATACTCCGAATCTCAGTGCGCATTTTCGTGTCTCCTTCCTTTTCGCGCCCCCGCATTCGTCCATCGGGGGAAAAACCCGCGAAGCGAGTTTTTTGAGGGTAGGTCGATCGATCGATCGATTGATCGATCGCTCGCTCGCTCTCGAGGAGAAAAAGTGCGATCCCGCCTGTCTCTCCCGTGGGAGAAGAGACTCCGACCGGCGGCGCGGCGCGGCGATTCCCTAACCGATTCGGCGCGTTGCTCCTGTGCGCAGCTTTAGGGCCCGAGGCGGCCACGCAGGCAGGCCCGAAACGAAAATCCGAGGGCGGTGGTTAGTTGCTGCACCGACGGCGAACGGCCACGACATCGGGGGTTGGCGACGGCAACGGCGTTTCACCGTGGGACTCTCGACGTTGCACCACGAGCGGAAGGTATTGTCCGATGAAAGGGAAAGACGAGGTCGCCAGGTGGTTTTTCGAATAAAAGTAAAACCGCCGGTTTTCCGGCGAACCGATCGCGCGATCGGTATCGGTATCGAAACGCACAGGATCCGGCCGGATGGGAACGTGGATTTTCGATCAATGAAACAATAACGCTACGATAACAATGTAAACAAAATGCGCGACGTGGTCGAGAGACAGACCCGTCGTCTCGACGTCTCTTTCAATTGTTATTGCAGTCCGAGGGGGTTGGATTCGGGAATCGTTCGGGATTCCGGCGCAGTTGACGCAACGACCGCGAGTACCCGTAAATCGGAAATCGAATTCGCCAGGAAACTGATAAAAATTGAAATTTGCGATGCTGTTCGCGTTCGTCGAGACAAGTTGCTCGCCTCGTGTTCATTCGCTCGGTAGCATTCCAGCTGGAGATCCAGCTTTAAGATGGATCCGAGAAAGAAGCCGGAGCGACCTAATGAAGACGAACGATCGCGAACGAACATGAGCGTCACGTGCACTTTTCCTTTCCGAAATGATGCGTTCTCATTTATATTCATCGTTAATATTGATCGTTATATTCATCATTAATAGTGATCGTTATATTCATCATTAATATTGATCGTTATATTCATCGTTGTATTTATTGTTAACATTGATCGTTATATTCATCAAAACGTTTGCGCTCGTTCGTGCTCATTCCGATCTGGACCAAGCCTCGATTACGGAATTTACGGATGCTGCTCCACCGACTATACTGTCGGTTGCGCAGCGTCGCTCGATCGCTCCTCGACATCAGGCAGCTTCAACGAGCGCGGCTCGCCGCAACTCGTACAGCCGAGAGAGGAACGCGCGCGTCTTCCTCGGCAGCCGCGTACTTAATCGACCTCAATTGGCAAGGCGGCCGAGACTCCGGATTGAAACGACCGAACGATCGTTGGAGCCGATCCGATATATCGGCTCGCACAAGCCTCAGAATGAGTAATCCCTCTTTCACCGCGCACTCGTGCGCGCGCGCGCACACACGATTCCTGTTACCTGCGTAACGAAGTGCACTTACGAGGCACAAACGCCACAAACTCTCGCGTTACGTTGTTCCACCGACGCGCTGACTCGCCGCTTCTAATCGGCGACGATGCTCTCTCGTTTCTCGCTATTCGACATTCCACGTAATTACGCGCGTTTCGAAGAACACGTCTTTTCACATTTTATGAAATGTACAGTCTCGTATTTATTTTACGCTATTCTACGCTTAAAACACGTGTCTTACCCAACGTTTTGTTAGATTAGATTCTCTAAATCTCGATATCAGTTTCAATGCATGTCGTTTAACTGCGCGTAATAAAAATTATATTAATGATTGTTAAATTATTTATTAAGTTCGCTCGGAGTGATATATTTGTCTCCCTGCGAGGAATTTTAACTTTTCCGAGCGTTTTAACGGTTCGTCGAGGAATGCGGAGTTGCGGAGCAGGTCAAACTCTGATCCATTGTCAAAAGAGCTTCAGGGAAGGTCAACTGAGCCCTTTCCGGAAATCGGCAGGGTCCTCCCTAAATGGCAGGCGTCTTGACTCGAGCTTCGACAGAAACAGCTCTAGAGAGCTGAAGCGACTCGACTCGTTTCTCGACGCCGAGCGGTTCGCTTTCTCGTACCGCGGCTACTGTGTTCCGCTCGAGCGAGAGCGGCTCGTGGCTCGCGCGCGATCAACGTGAAGAAAGAAAAAGATCGTCAACTCACACGCGATCGACAGATCGCCCACGAGTCGCGTGAGAGATCTGAGATACATATAATATAAAATACGAAAATGAAACGTGACAGGCGCGAAAATGAAGCGTGCAATATGACGAATTAAGGAAACGTGGCGTGAAGACGCAAAGTGGAAGGCTTATTGAATTTGACGTTAATAACATTGAAATAGAGAGTAGAGGTGTCCGCAGTATGCGATGAGATAATGAATATTTCCCGAAATACGTGACATTCATCTCCCGTCATTGGAAGATTAATCACTCTGAGAAACACCTGCGAGACGATAAAGTTCAACCGCGATGTTCAACGCAGTAGAATAATAAGCATTCATCACTATCTTTTTGTACGTATTTCACTTCCGCTGGTTTATCTTCCCATGTTTCATGTTTTTATGACACGTCACATTTCCAATCACGAGGAACGACACGTACGCATTGTTTCGACAGCTCGAGCGAATAGACGCGATCCTGGCGCGGTAGATAGGACCACTTCCCAGTTTCCCGGGCGTGATAAGACGACGATAAAGAACCGACGGGAGGACCTTGCGCCTTTTGATACCGGGGATTCTGATGTGTGTGCACACACAACATTATCTGCCACCTCCGCGTTTCGTGAACGACGTTAAATTCTCCGCCGCTCCGCCTCGCTATACTCTCAACGTTAGAAACGAGCGTGTAAATACCGTAAAGGAGTAGGCGTCTCTCGTGGAGAAAAATAATCCTGCGAGCCTCTCGAGAAGCCTGATGTGATTACCTTATTTTTAACACCTGGCACGCGCGGAAAAAATGTACGTATTACACAATAGGAAATAATGGAGTAAAACGATAAAATAAATTAATAAATGAATAAGAATAAAATGTTTTTCGCACATCTTTATGGCATTAAAATTACAATTTTATTTTATTATTTTAGCGAGCGCTGCCGTCTCGGTAGAGTTTTTATTTTGAGTTGTGCCCGATGATTTGAAATAGTACCTTCAATTATATCGTACAGCATTATCTATAGTTCGAACGGGAAGGAAAATAAATTGCTACCAATTTTAAGGTTAATCAGTGTTGACCGTGAGAAAACAATGGTCTGCCTCTAATCTCTCGAGTTACACACACGTGAAAGACCGTTTCTGACGTTGATTTCTCGACATCTGCGGTTTAAAGACAGCCTCCGCGGTCGATTTCTCAACAGCCGTCACTTTCAAGGCCCACGAAAGAACGGACCGTTCCTTCCAAATCGTAAATCAAAATGAATATTGTCTGCAAATCTATTGTGTCCAACAAAAACATTCGACATTAATTAACGGAATTTTCTTGCAACTCGTAAAGAAACACAATTATCGGGAATAGGAAAAATTTATAACTCGCGAAACTAAGTGTTAAGAATATAATTAGCCTACGAGGAAGACAAACGAATTGGAGAATGTGCAAAGTAAAATTATAATAATTAATCCTTAAGAGCTTTAATAAATCTTCAACTACTATAAAGTTCAACAATTTGTTGCGCTTTGTTTTGCACAATTTTTCGTAATATTACCGAGGTACGTTATAAACGCAGGATGACGGTCTAATTAACTACCATTAACATTTATCTCATTTATCGTTATTACATTCTTTGCCGTCTCTCGCTTCTCACGATCTCGAGACACGTGTGTGAGAGGGGCTATTAACCTCCTCCCCGCGCCATCGTCTTCATTCATTTTTCGCATCTTACGCGCGAGTGAATCGATGTGCATGCGTGCCTATCGAGCGTGTCAGTAAAGCGTAGCGCTCTTGTACTATGTCGAGGCGCTATGAAATATTAATGCGATGATGCTCGCCGACGTGCAGAATGACGTTCGCGTCCGGAGCCGAGCGAAGAGGCACGAAATACAATGTGCGTATATGAGACGTCACGCGAAATCTCGCGAACCGCATCAATCTTTAGGATCGCAATACACACGTATTGCTTCGCGTAAAAATATCCACGATTCCGTATGCGTTTGTGTGAGCGATGTGTAATCACACATCTGAAACAATTTACGAAATTTTTTAATATAATAGAGATTTTCAGAAGTGATCAATTATACGCTTTTTATAAATCTCTCAATTCTAGCACCAGAACGCACGATTAATTTATAACTGTATTAATTTTCCATCTTTTATTTTATGAAGTAGATCAGTTTGAGAGATTTTTGAGAGGCTCAATTAAAGTATTGATTCAATTTGTGAGCTAGTACATATTAAATTAATGAGAAGAAATTAGAAAGAATCTTGTTTGAGTTATATTTTTTTTACATGTCACCGTAGAAGGTAGAATTGCGATTTATCCCGCGTACTACGTAGCACAGCCGCGAAAAGAACAATTCGGCTGCACAGTAATTAACATAATTCGTCCGGCCTCGTTCTCCATTTATCGTATACAATTATCGCGAACGGCCACAATCTCCGTCGCTCGCGTCATCAACGCGCCGCCGCGAGAAGAGCGGGCGCGCGCGAGAGGAATCCGCCCGAGGTGGAAACGTTTCGCGAAAAACTCGCGGAACGGAACGCGAAAATAATATTTCGCGGATATATCGCGGGCGAGTTGTACCCCGCCTTTCACCCGACGTTCGTTCGACGAAGCGAATAAAAATTACCCCTTCACTCCCTCGGCCGCATTCATTGTACGGCGCGTATCGTTCGATGCGATCGACAGGGACGATATCCCGGTATCTCGATTGCGATCGGCTTCCTCGCCCATCGCGAGGTGACGGACTTAAAAATCGCTCCGCGCTGAGGATAAATCGCGTTTTCCCACGTGCGCCCTTTAACACCGCGCCGCGCCGCGCCGGTCTATACCCCGGTAGCTCTGAGCGATTTTCTGAGAACTTCCATCTGTGAGAGCGTGATCTTTGCGAGGAACCTGCCCACAAAAGCCAAGGACATGCTTTCATGAGCGAGATGGAAGGCCATGCGCTCGCATCCTCCGGAATTTTTGAAGGAAAAGAGAAAATGAGCACGAAGAAGCACCGATATGAAAGTAACTCTTTTGGAGTGAATTTTTTCGTTGGAATTTCATGAAAAATCGCGCAACTCTCTTCGTGATGGAATTATCCCCTAATAAAAATATGTATTTTACGAGTTTGTAGAATATCAGGGTTTTATAAGAATATTTATTAATTAAGTATTTCTCAAGTCGCTTCACATTTCTCGAGGCTGACCCATCTCTCTCTGAAGAAGGCCACTGGAAATTTTATTTAGAACGTCCGCGTCCACTGTTTCGTCAACGTTGTGTTCGT